AGTTCTTCTGACCATTTGAACCAAATAGATTTTTTCAAAGTTCTTCTGACCATTTGAACCAAATATAGCTTGATGCATTCTATTTTTATTTTTCTTATTTTAAAAAATATTATAGTATCAAACGAAGAAAGAGCTCGATCAGAAATTCTTCCATGCTCAAAGATACAGGTAGATTACGAGTTGTTAAAAAACAAAAGGGCGTGTGGGCATTATTAGAAGCTTATAGGGTGAGGCCTTAGCATTCTCAAAGCATGTCACAGAAAATGAGATGCTTACACTTAAAAAACCAAACAAAGCAATAACATTGTAATTATAAGGCAATTTCTAAATCTAAATTATATCTTAGGGGCTTTTTTGTAGGACGGCCATGTGTCCATAGTTCTTTTGTAAAAGTCAATAAATTAAGGACATGATATCGCATCTAACATTTGAGAGTGTTGAGATGGACGAGTGACTAGATAAGAAGGGATAGAATCTGAAATGAATATTCAGAGAATTTAGGTGTGATACCAATAGACGATAAGATGAAAGAAAGTAGACTGAGGTGGGCTGGCCATGTGTGACGCAAATCCAGCAGAACACTGATTATGAGGCGTAGGTTAGTTCAACTGGAAGGCTAAAAAAGGGATAGCGGTAGGCCCAAAGGACATGATTCGAAGTTGTAGAAAAAGATATGGAGACTTAGGACTTCACTAAGGGTATATGACCCTTAAATAGTAAAATGACAAACCATGATTCATATAGCTAACTCCAATTAGTTGGGAAAAAACTTTGCAGATGATGATAATGACAACACATGTATATGATGTTTTAAAAACCTAGACACTTTTTAATTTTCCTCTTTCTTCTTCTACTTTTTATTGTTTTTTTTTTTTAACAAATCAATTCTTTATTTTTCTTCTTAAAGCCTCATTACAAAAGTATATAATTACTTGTAAATCCTGCCTTTACATTTATTGAAAGGGTGCGGTTTCTATAAGGTTGCAACCTTAAACAATCCAATTAAGGCACACCTCAAAATTTTATCATAACATGTAATTTTGTTATAAAAAATTCTTAGGATTATCTTAAAATCTATTTTTAATCTAATTATAAAATTTTAAATTCTAAAAATGGTTAAAATCAAGTAGATCTATAAATATATGAAAATCTTGAAAATAGACAGTCTAGATAATGTGTTACAAAATGCATTATTATGGGACTCAAAAAGTTTTTTTTTTTCATATTCATACATCTCGATATCGAGATGACCGATTAAAGGGTTTTTCAAAGTTAAAACAACATTTCCGATAGATTTTGAGGTGCATATGTGATTCTACATTTTAAGGTTGCAACCTTATATAAACTTTTCTCCTATTTAAATGGTGTACAAATGTGTTGTATGTAAAAGAAATTTTTTATTAAGGATTATGACATTGTTATCTATGTACGGACACAAGTATTCATGTCTTTGTAAGATATGGAGAGACCATCCCCTATGAGGACACAGTTTCTACGAGTCCATAGACGCAGTCTTAATAATTTATTTTTGAAATAGAATTTGATCTTAGTTTTTAGAGAATATATAATCTTTAACATGGAGATTATTAATCCGTAAAAATAAATAAATTTTTAAAACTAAAAATGATATTTTTTGGATAAAATATTTAAATTATTGATTCTATTATTTTTTTGGAAGATTATTATTTGCGGGACCCAGTTTTGGTAGACGGTGTAGATATCCGAGCCTGCATATTAACAAGTGCGGGCTTGGACTCACCAAACTATTTTCCTTTGTGTGATAATGTGTATTTTGGTCAATGGTTAGTTGGCGTGACACAAAAATGTGTCAGTCTATGAGTTTGATGGAACCTAGTATCTTTAATTTTTGCCTAACATACAATGTGGTGGTATCTTGCCCCAACCAATCCTAGTGAACTAGTTTTAACCGATTGGAACAACAAATTATGAATGGACATTTTCTTTTTAATACATTTCATATTTCAAACTATTCTTTTTTTTTTGTCTTCTTCTTATGTTTTTAAAGCACCAGGGGTCAAATGACCATAATAATCCTGTTTATTCAGGGTTAGTAATATGGAATTGCCCAGTTAATTTCGTATGTTTATTAACTTGTTTGGTAAATTATATTCCGGAAACCTTGAAAAAAATATGTTTTTAACCATTTATCAATAAATAAAATTACGATGTCATTTCGACAACTCTCTGCCTCCCTCTCTCTCGCGCATACTCTCTCTCTCTCTCAATTAGAAAAAAGAATTAAAATTGCATCATTATTTAGATATCTCTCTCTCTCCCCCAACCAAATAAACTTCATGTTCTTTACCATCAAAGTAGTGTAATTTATTACATTAAACTTTGTGTAATTGTCACTTAGGCTTCAAAGGAAAATCACCAACATGAGATATCCATTTATTCTAATATTAGTATCTCATTCCAAACACCACATAAAATTAATGGTATTTTTCAAGTAGTAATATCTGACTTGTATGAAACTACTGTACCCTGAATTTTACAACAGCTCTACTCAAAAGCAGGAATTTCATGCCAACATGGAATCCTTTTCAGGTGGTCGACATGTTTGGAACATCAGCCTCAGTGGACGTGGTTGTGCCAGAGCAATTTCAAAGTTAAGACCTTCCTATGGCTTCTGAGCTAGGGGAGACTTCTCACAGGTGATAGACAAGGGGGATGACCCTAACTAACATATGCCTTCTGTGCAAAAATGAAGAGGATACTATTGATCACCTCTTCATCCATTGCCCCTTCGTCAACACCCTGTGGGATTGGCTGTAACTTATTGCTATTTGGAGTTCCCCCAGGCAATACAATATTCAATCTCTACTACAGCAGGTTTGGGTCCCCCCCTGCCCATCCATGGGCTCCAGCCTATGGCGGATCTTTGTTGCAGTCATGCTTTGGAACCTATGGAGGGAACATAATCTCAGAACCTTTGAAAGTTGCAGCCATGACCTTCCCACTTTCCTCTTGACGATCTAACGGATCCATTATGACTTGGGCCTATAGCTCTCTCCCCCCTTAAAGCTATACCTAAGGAATTCTTCTTTGCTCACTTAAGAAATCTATTGACTTTCATGCTCAGATGACCTTCCTTGCGCTTTGTGTGGAAGCGGCCCCCTCCCACGACAGTTGGGTCAAACTTAATTTTGACAAGACCGTGAAGGGACAGGTGGGTGGGTGTGGGGGAATTCTCTGTGATCACAGTGGAGCAACGATTTGGATTGTCTTAGGGAGAATCCACCCTTGTGAGATAAATGAGACGGAATTATTGGCATTGAAGATGGGAGTTCTAAATCTAGCTCTTTCCTACCCAAGTGTGCAAATTGAAAGAGACTCGGCTAATGTCATCAGCTGGTGTTTGTTTCTTGATTCCACTTTTTGGCACCTTAGTAGCCTCATGGATGAAATTTTGATTCATTTGAGGGATTTTCAAGTCTCTTTCTCTTGCTCAAGGGTACGATTTGGGCGCTGACTATTTGGTTACTTCCTAAGCCGTGGTTTCTTTAAATCCTCTACCCTTAAATCCTTTCCCCCTGCGGTTCTTTCTTTTTTTTTAGGGGTTGTTCTTTCTTTTCTTTTCTTTTCCTTTTTCTCTTTCTTTATATCTTGTACCTTTCACTACTCATACTAACTCAAAAAAGTAATATCTCAGTTAGTCAATAAGCATGAAAGAGATTCCTATTTTCAAAGATAATATCTCGCTATGCAAATTACCATGTGAGTTTTAGTTTCTGAATATCTTACCATGTCAAATATTGTTATTTAGGAATATCAATATCTCATGGTTGTGAGGTTTTCAGATGATATCGAGGCTTTCAAACACCAACTTGGCATTTTAAGTTCTTTGTTTTGATATATTGGTAATTTTGAAGACCAATATTACCAAATAAATGACCCTATGAAATACTGTTTTTTAGGGGGTGGGGGTAATCTAGTTGT